ACACCTCTATGAGCTTATTGGGGGAGGAGACAAGGCGTGGTCTCATGTACTGTATATCACACCTCTATGAGTCTATCGGGGGGGGGGCCAAGGCGTGGTCTCATAGATGTACTGTATATCACACCTCTATGAGTCTATGGGGGGAGGGGACAAGGCGTGGTCTCATAGATGTACTGTATATCACACCTCTATGAGTCTATGGGGGGAGGGGACAAGGCGTGGTCTCAGATGTACTGTATATCACACCTCTATGATGGGAGGGACACACAAGGTAAGTTTTACCATCCCCCACTCTTCTGGGAAGACTTTGGAGGGGTCTGTGAGGTCAGGTCCTGATGCTGGATGGGAAGATCTGGGTCACCATCGGCATTCTGCTTCATCCCGATGGTGTTCTATGGGGTTGAGGTCCGGGTTCTATGCAGGACCCCCGAGTTCCTGCACCCCAAGCTGGTCCTCCATGTCTTGATGGAGCCGGCTCTGTGACCCTGGAGGGATGTCTATGTAGACCCGCCATGTACCGTATGACTGAGTAGAACATTGGTGTCCAGCTCCCGATGGTGTTCTTCCGGCAGGTTCTACGGGAAGATGGCAGACAAGGCCGGAACTCACAGCCCGGCTACACTGGACGCCATCAGAGGCAATGCTGCGGGACTGAGCGGGATCTCGGGGGAGAGGATCTGGGTGGAACTGAAGAAGACCTTAGAAGGAAGACACGTCACTCATCTGATGCAGCTTCTGTATGAGCTGGGCGTGGCTCCACATGTCGGTGGGTGTGTCCTCTGTATGTCTCCTCCTTTCCGTGTGGCAGACATGGAGGACTACATATGAATGTGTCTTGTACTGTGTGTCACGTGTAGCCAGCAGGTGACCAACTCCAGGGAAGAGCAGCAGCTTTGTGGTGTTAGTGGCTGTTGTGCCGACACAGACATGAGTAGCAGGGAGATCACATTACACAGATTGCAGTCCTGCACCTTCACACTATATTTTGGATCCTTGGATTGCTCTGGGAGGCCTGAATGACGTCATCGGGACCGAGGCGAAGGGACCAGAAGCCGGGGGATTTGCTAAAAAAAAATATATAAAAATATATATATATACACTGACAGAGGCAGAGGAGTGCAGGGAGTTGAGGTGGCTGCAGTGTAGACGGGTAGAAGCATTGCTTGAGCTCTGCACATGTGGATGTGTCCTTTAAATAGGTGTGGCCCCTTTAAGAGGCATGCACCTACGACGTCATTGGCTGAGACACCTCAGACCGGGTCCAGAAGCAGCACCGAGCCAGAGAGGGACCGTGACCGTGCAGGAGCAATGAAGGTAAGTGCCAGTGGGCGGGGTCTGAGAGAACGGTGTGCACGCCATATGCCCATCACTGATTATCAGGACATCCAGAAAACACGCCAAGTCCTCTGCCCGGTCCTGGTGATGACATCGCCTCTCCTGGTTTGTTCTCAGGATTACCAGAGGACGGGAACCTGGAGGAGTTTGCTCAGGTCTGTTCCCGAGCCGAACATTTATCACCCCGACCCATGACCCTCCTGACTGCACTCTTCTCACATCCGGACTCCGTCCACAAACTGGATCTGAGGCTGAAGATCTCCAAAGAGGAGAAAGTCCTGGCGCTGTTCATCCTGAAGGAGAGGCGGGATCTGAGGGCGGAGCACACGGACAGACTGCCACTGAAGCCCTATCAGGACCACATTATCGACGTGAGTAGAGTGACCCCCATCTCTCCCAATCTGTAGGTGAACAATGGCGGCTCCGACTTCCTGACCACACTGGTCTTGTAATGAGAATGCATCACTCTGATTGGTTCCTGATCATGTGCAATCATGGTGACCACATGGGTTTGTTTACAAAGCATTCCCGCCTCCTTAGGGGTCAGGGGTCAGACTCAGAGACCAGAAGCTATAGCAGTAGAGAGTCTCCCTCCCACCGACAGGCAGATCACCCTGGCAGATGACACGGGCTCACCCGAGGTGCGGGGTCTAAGCACCAACCGGTATTCAGCAGAGCTCCTGATGGTGGGGATGGGTTTTGCTGCATGTTAGTACCAGGTCAGGGTCCTCAGGATCTCCCCACCAGGAGGTGAGCAAGCCGGGATCCAGTAGCAGATATAGCAGGTTGGGGTCATGCAACACTGTACCCATATGAATTTTTTAGCATTTTTTTGAGACAGATAAAGTTTTATTTTGGTCGTATTTATTCACTGGGATTTTTATTTTTTTTTTGCTATGTAAATGAAAAAAGTCCAAAAATTTTGAAAAAAAAAAAGTGTTTTTGTAATAAAATTTTGCAAATAAATAATATTTCTTCATAAATCTCGGCCAAAATTTATTCCGTTATCTTTTTAGTAAAAAAAAAATAACCCAAATTAGTTTATAACCAAAAATTATAATTTTTAAACTTTTTTTTTTACTTATTTTTAGTTTTTTTATATTCTTATTTGTTTTTTTTTTTTTTTTTTTTTTTACATACTGTCACCCTAGCAGTACAGTCACCATGGTGACACTGTACTACTTGTGGGGGGTGATGATTTTTTTTTTTTTTCTTCTTCACTGATTGCTTTTAAAGGCTGTAAGAGGAATCATTTCTCCTTCTCTCTGACTGCATTCCTGCCGCCATTGAGAACTACTGTGTGAGCTGTGATTGGTCACAGCTTGCCACATGGTACAAGGCTGTTGTGAATGGCCCTGTACCATGTGACCTTGGTGATCATTCACAGATTTCACACGTAGTAAGCAATGATGTCAGAAGTGACATCTTGCTTACTACTCTGCATGTGATCACTGATTGGCCAATCAGTGATCACATGATCGGGACCTCGCACAGAGGTAGGTCCCGTACGACGATCGGTGTTCCACTGTGTTTGGAGGACACAGCGGGTACTGGATCGCCGTGCTGCATGCACACAGGGAGGGCGCACAAGCAGCAGGGGGCGGGGAGCCGTTTATAAAGAGCCACCCGCCCCTGCACTGCCACCGTCCGGCCGTTGTATATAAGTGGTTAAGAATCCGGAGTAAACGCATCGAATCAACGCGTTTCGGGGGAACGGCCTCCCCCTTCTTCAGGGCTAACATAGAAACATAAAAAAATGTACAATCAGTTTTTGTAATCTAATTGTCTCTCTATGACAACAAAGTGTACAGATGTAGTTCTGCGAAATCGAAGCCAATAATTTGTGTATTACACCCGCCAATAAATTCCAATACAATATTGAATGTACGTCAGAGAATGTGAAGGTCCCTGTGGGGAGGACATTGGGCTCAGCCCAGCCTGAGGAAGACTCTGATGAAGACTCTGATGAAGACTCTGATGAAGGCTCTATAACTATAGGAGGCCCAGGTTCCTGATTACAGGGGCCGGCTTCCTCAGAGGATCCAGTTTGTAGAGGCCCCTAGAACCTCTAAGGGAGGGTAAGCCGGGGTCATTCTTACAAACAGATGGCAACCACCCCACTGGACTGGCCAACTGGCCTTTGCAGTAAGGTGCCCATGGAAGGGCGACACACATCACCAACAAACTATCCAGCTGGGAAGTGTGGGAAATGTTTGGGACGGGGCCATTCTTAGCAACAAGACTTCCCCCACTGAGTCTGTGACATGGCGGTGTATCGGTAATGCAACGGGCCTCAAAATGCTGGGCAAATCCTCGGCTACATACCCCGGCAAACCATTGCTCCTTATCCTTGTACCTCTTGCTGAGCAGTGAACCCTTGCAGTGTGGGGGAGGGGGGCAGACAGGGCTGTGTGTGAATGAAGTCAATGGCTGTGTGTGAATGAAGTCAATGGCTGTGTGTGAATGAAGTCAACGGAGGAACTGCAGATATACAAATACTCACAAGAGCTTTTAGCTCCAACATCCTAAAGATTCAACGTTCAGATCTTTATCTTCTCCATTTCTCTCTCCCAGTCCCGAGAGTTGGATATCCAGAAGAAGGTGTGTGAACTGCTGAAGTACCAAGGAGAGAGCGGCTCCTGAAGGAGATGGAAAGCTGGACTCTTCCTCGCTTCCCGGTCAGTGGGCACGACCTCCGCCGATTGGGGATCTCTTCAGGGAAGGAGATCGGGAGGATCCTGCAGGAACTCCGGGCGCAGTGGAAGGAGAGCGGGTACCGGAGCGACAAAGAGGAACTTCTGAACAGCGTTCATGGGAAGGGGTCCTGAATGTGGGGGAAGGGGTCCTGAATGTGGGGTCAGGAACACAGTACTGTGCGCATCACTTGGAGGGGTTCTCCAGGAACAAGTTATGTTCTGCACTCAGAGGAGGCTGCTTAGTGGCTTCTAGTCTACGGACAATTAAGTCCCACCAACACCTCTGCTGCTCCTTCTGCCCCCCAAGGGGACAAAGTGGGGGCAGGAGGAGTAATGTCCCATTTTGATAGGTGCTGTGGATTTGGAGCTAGCATGGTCAACAGCACCCCCCCCTCCCCCCCTGTTTGACCATGCTGCTCAGTAGGAAACTAAATTAGTTTTTATTGACAGTGCTTGTCTCCGCCCAGGACCCAGGACCAGCGCTGTCACTACTCATGCAGGGGAATTAGGAGGCCGGTCAGTGTGACTGCAACACACATCGTACTGACCGACAGGAGCACTAACAGCAGAGGGGGAGGGGAGGGAGAAACAGCTCTACACTAGGAACAGCCACAAATCGGGCTTCATGCGGGGGAGGAGCTGATGGACAATAATAGCCGTCATAATTATGTGATTTACTGGAGAAGCGTTCAGTGTTTCTTTTCACAAGCAGAGAGAAGTATTTTATCATGAATTAATATCCTGAAATTTATCTTTTTGAGGCTTCTTTAAAGCTGAACTCCAGGATGATAGTAAATGGATGCGTACAATGGCCACCTTGTGGGTTATCTGGAGCATGCTCTGTTTCCTTCAACCATAAAATCCATCCCTCGGTGTAGGTTCAGTAATGGCCGCTGGCCCCGTACGTCTTACCTCCACCATAAATCCATCCCTCTGTGTAGGTTCAGTAATGGCCGCTGGCCCCGTACGTCTTACCTCCACCATAAATCCATCCCTCTGTGTAGGTTCAGTGATGGCCGCTGGCCCCGTACGTCTTACCTCCACCATAAATCCATCCCTCTGTGTAGGTTCAGTAATGGCCGCTGGCCCCGTACGTCTTGCCTCCATCATAAATCCATCCCTCGGTGTAGGTGCAATGATGGCCGCTGGCCCCGTAACGTCTTACCTCCACCATAAATCCATCCCTCTGTGTAGGTTCAGTAATGGCCGCTGGCCCCGTACGTCTTACCTCCATCATAAATCCATACCTCGGTGTAGGTTCAGTGATGGCCGCTGGCCCCGTACGTCTTACCTCCATCATAAATCCATCCCCCGGTGTAGGTTCAGTAATGGTCTCCATAGGCCGCTGGCCCCGTACGTCTTACCTCCATCATAAATCCATCCCCCGGTGTAGGTTCAGGGCTGCTGACCAATCATAAAATTCGTGGTAATAATGGCCGCTGGCCCCGTACTCTCCTCCATCCCCCGGTGCCTGCAGGCCCCCAGCTTACTCCACCATAAATCCATTGTAGGTTCAGTAATGGTCTCCATAGGACCAATCGGTAAATAGCCTATGGTGCCAGGCTGCAGCACTGATGCGCCAGGAGTGGTGGATACCTTCTACAGATCCCGCTAGGGTTTTCCTTTGCCTGTCCTGCTCAGCCATTGGGCAACACCTAGAGACCCGCCCACTGCATAGAGCGTCAGCCAGGTGCCCGAGGGATGAGACGTGGAGCGCCTTACAGATCCTCCTCCCTGCGGCCAGAGATTGATTCAATGTTTGTAGAATGATGGTGTCACAGCCAGTAAAAGTAACATTTTGTTGGTTCTGCATCCACTTAATTGAGAACATTTTGGGGTGTAAATGGGGGAGGGGGGGCTTTATATTGAACATTCAGTTCATCCTGGAGTTCAGCTGCTGATCTGAAGGCTGAGCCCTGAATGTAAGTTGCATTGAGGCAGACGAGGTGTCGGGGCTTCACCCCATAATGTGCCTTACAGGACAGCCGCTCCATCTGTGTGGTGGATTCGCATTGCATTGCCATTTATTCTTCATTGCACCCCAATGTTCTGCCTGCTGAGATGCTCTGCGGTGTGCGATGTTCTGAGACACGAGCCGGGTTCTTCCCCAGCCCCTTATAAAATGAACAGGGACGAGGAAAAGGTAACTCCCGACAACCATTCTGCCCTACAGAGAGCTGTATTGTTAGAGGGATGGACGGGAGGGAAGGACGGGGGGGAAGAGACGGGAGGGATGGACGGGAGGGATGGACGGGAGGGATGGACGGGAGGGATGGACGGGAGGGAAGGACGGGAGGGAAGGACGGGAGGGGAAGGACGGGAGGGGAAGGAAACGGGAGGGATGGACGGGAGGGATGGACGGGAGGGAAGGACGGGATGGACGGGAGGAGGATGGACGGGAGGGAAGGACGGGAGGGAAGGACGGGAGGGATGGACGGGAGGGATGGACAATGGGCCTGAATTCCAAATGAGAGGCAACACTGTCAACGGGGGTAACCTTTGTTGGAGGGGGGGGGGGGATAATCTAAAGGATGATTAAGTCTGATTAAAGTCCAGTTAGTCTTTATTGCAAAAAAAGAGAGCCAATGCGTTTCGGGGGCCGAGTCCCCCTTCATCAGGGCTTCATATCGGGATGTAAATTAGGAATAATTGGAAAATAAACTGCAGAATGAAAGTAAATGAATACAAAGCCAGCGCTCTTCTCAGCGTCCGGAGCTGGCGCTCCACCCCGTTCTGCTTGTATTGCGGAATACAGGGATATTAACTACAGTGATGGGGGGGAGGGGCGCTGATCAGGATGTCTAAGTGGTGATCTGTATCAATACCTTTAATATGCAATTATTGTAATGTTTATTGTGCAGTATTCCTCTTATTTGGAGGCTCAGGTAAAGGGTGACCCCTGACCCCCAAAACGTGTTGAATTATTTTTGTCTTTATTGTGCAATAATGACTGAATAGACTGACTTTGTGTTGCTCTTAACCTTCAACCTTTCTGCCCTGGAACTGATGATTATTCCTGTCCCCTGGAGAAGCAGAGAATCCCTCCACCTAGACAACAGCCCAATTTATATCCTCATCCCTGGGGAACCAGAGAATCCCTCCACCTCATCAGCCCAATTTATCCTCATCCCTGGGGAACCAGAGAATCCCTCCACCCAGATATCAGCCCAATTTATCCTCATCCCTGGGGAACCAGAGAATCCCTCCACCCAGATATCAGCCCAACTTATCCTCATCCTTGGGGAACCAGAGAATCCCTCCACCCAGATATCAGCCCAACTTATCCTCATCCTTGGGGAACCAGAGAATCCCTCCACCCAGATACCAGCCCAACTTATCCTCATCCTTGGGGAACCAGAGAATCCCTCCACCCAGATATCAGCCCAACTTATCCTCATCCTTGGGGAACCAGAGAATCCCTCCACCCAGATACCAGCCCAACTTATCCTCATCCTTGGGGAACCAGAGAATCCCTCCACCCAGATACCAGCCCAACTTATCCTCATCCTTGGGGAACCAGAGAATCCCTCCACCCAGATAACAGCCCAGTTTATCCTCATCCTTGGGGAACCAGAGAATCCCTCCACCCAGATATCAGCCCAACCTATCCATCCATGGAGAAACCCCTCCACCCAGATACCAGCCCAACTTATCCTCATCCTTGGGGAACCAGAGAATCCCTCCACCCAGATAACAGCCCAGTTTATCCTCATCCTTGGGGAACCAGAGAATCCCTCCACCCAGATATCAGCCCAACCTATCCTCATCCATGGAGAATCCCTCCACCCAGTAACAGCCCAGTTTATCCTCATCCTTGGGGAACCAGAGACCCTCCACCCCAGATATCAGCCCAGTTTATTGCCGTCCCTGGAGAACCCCTCTACCCAGCCAGCACACAATGGCCGCTCATATCATGTGACTTTTAAAGGAATGTAATTGGCCAGACAGCCCTGACGGAGCAAAGCGGTCACCTACAGGTTCATGTAAATGTCGTTATTTCTGAACCCGATAATAAAAACTATTTTTTTATGTTATTCCTCGTTCATGTATTCTGTATTCAGACTGAGGACCAGATGGAGCAATAAACCAGGCAGCCAGCGGTACATTCTCCAGCATATAGAGCTTTTGGCTTCATATTTTTATTTCTATGTTCTATAGACATCGATCGTTTTGCAGTGCAATAGTCACTTCTGGTTCAACAGAAAAAAAATAAGGTACAAAAACAGGATCGCTTAGCACACGGTGTTATAGGGAGGAGGCGGGGCAAGCCTAGAGCGGGAGTGCTTCCTAACAGATCCACCAATCAGATCCCGGTGTTGTATATACAGCTGGGGGGGGGGGGGGGGGGGGTCCGGACTCTTCCTCACATTGCACTGTACAGGATTATTCGGTAAGGCGAGAACGGGATAACGGAAAGCGAAATCCTCCATCGCCCCAGAGGAGGGGCTTACAGCTGGCGGTCAGTGAACTCTTCCAGGGAAATCCCACCATCACCCCAACGGAGGGGCTTACAGCCGGCAGTCAGCGAACCTTCCAACAAAATCCACCATCACCCCGATGGAGGGGTTTACAGCCAGCGGTCAGCGAACCTTTCAGTGAAATCCACCATCACCCCAGCGGAGGGGCTTACAGCCGGCGGTCAGCGAACCTTCCAGGGAAATCCACCATCACCCCAGCGGAGGGGCTTACAGCCGGCGGTCAGCGAACCTTCCAGTGAAATCCACCATCACCCCAGCGGAGGGGCTTACAGCCGGTGGTCCAGTGAAATCCACCATCACCCCAGCGGAGGGGCTTACAGCCGGCGGTCAGCGAACCTTCCAGGGAAATCCACCATCACCCCAGCGGAGGGGCTTACAGCCGCCACCATCACCCCAGCGCTTACAGCCGTCAGCGAAATCCACCATCACCCCAGTGGAGGGGCTTACAGCCGGCGGTCAGTGAAATCCACCATCACCCCAGTGGAGGGGCTTACAGCCGGCGGTCAGCGAAATCCACCATCACCCCAGTGGAGGGGCGTACAGCCGGCGGTCATCGACATCCACTTTCACCCCAGCGAAGGGGCTTACAGCCGACGGTCAGCGAACCTTCCAGGGAAATCCACCATCACCCCAGCGGAGGGGGCGTACAGCCGGCGGTCAGTGAAATCCACCATCACCCCAGCGGAGGGGCTTACAGCCGGCGGTCAGCGAAATCCACCATCACCTCAGTGGAGGGGCGTACAGCCGGCGGTCATCGACATCCACTTTCACCCCAGCGAAGGGGCTTACAGCCGACGGTCAGCGAACCTTCCAGGGAAATCCACCATCACCCCACCCGTACAGCCGTCGGTCAGCATCCACCATCACCCCAGCGAAGGGGCTTACAGCCGGCGGTCCAGTATTGGGATGTGATTTTGGCTCAAAATGTATTAAACATGAAAAATACAACCTTACAAAGTTTTGGAAAATTTTAATTGCTAAGATAACCCTCCACCCAACTAATGAATGTCGTCATAGAAACACCCACTCCTGTCCGGACCCCATGCCATCACTAAGGCTCGGTTCACACCGCAGCGGTCCCATTGTTGTGCCATTTCCTGTGCGACTTTCATGCAACATTAGAGTCCATGGAAACTCGAAGTCGCATCAAAGTAGTGCAGGAAACCTTTATGAGACGCATTAAGTGATTAGAACGGCTGCGCCTGAAATGTGTTCTGACTTTATGTGCTGCAAATCGCATGACAAGTCGCAGCCGTGTAAAGAACGATGCCAGACCTCTATAGAGTATTCTCAAAGGAGCAATCTACGACGGGGACAACTAGTGGCCAGGTAGAGAACTGCAGATGGAGGTGGAGTTGGTGAGACTGATTTAGGTCTCTGTCTGCTGCTTCTCTGAAGGTGACACTCCGGGGGGGGGGGGGGGGATCAAGAGCAGGTTTAGAGGTGGCCCAGTGTAGAAGTCACAACTGAGGTTGGATTTTAAGAGGTTTATTGAGGAACTTAATTCACAGGAGCAAGTCCAATGTGTTTCGGGGAGTTGCCTTACCCTTCATCAGGGCTGTAGGTTGATGTGGCCACTACGGGTCTGATACTAGAGACCAACTTCGGGTGAGAACCTTTCTGGTGCTGTCAGGTCACTGAGACTCAGTTTGAGGTCAAAGGTTATCACCTAAAGTTATAAGTTAAAGTTAAAAACTGTATTAGAGATTGCCTGAAGCATTTGATGTCTCAAAGACGTTAACATATAAAATACATTTGACACCAAGTCCACTTCAGGAAAAAGGTTTTCCATAATTGTGTGACATTGACTCTCATCGTGTGCAATACTGTGATAGGATCTTCTAGATACAATGGTGACAGGAGCTGCAGTATATACTTACAAGGACAATGTGACCGATGTGCCCCATAGAACTACATCCACCCCACAGAGTCTGTTGGGACAGAAAACCAGAACTGCGGAGGAGACAGATGGTGACAGAGCATTTGTAAGAACGCTGTTGAAGCAACTCGGTGGCTCTGGTGGAATGCACCATTTTCCCTCAAAAGAAGAAAAATGTCATAGCAGTGATGATTGAGACATATCACCACTCCGAGGATTGG